TATTTGTTTAGTAATCTTACAGGTAAAATTTTCTGCAATTATTTCTAATAAAGAATTAGATGTTTTATCCAGTATATCATTCTTGATTATTGATTTCTTTTCATAATTTATACTAAATTGTTTCATAAATTCATTACTTAATTGAAGCTTTTGATTTATATCATTAATTAGGTTTTTAAATTTTAGTTGAGAATCTACTGGTAGTAATTCGATAAATTTCTCTATTTCTTCTTGTACTATATCTTTAAACCACTTAGGCTCCTGATAAGAAAGAGATATAAGTAATTCTAAAGATTTAAATTGAATATAATAACATTGGGACTTTTGTAATGATTCCAAGCCTAAATAATAACAAAGAGCTAAATTAACAGGTTGAACAGTTTGATAACTTAAATTTTGAGCAAGATCTAATACACCAAACCATAGAGAGTTTGGTAAAGCAGTTGGTTCTTTTTTAGTCCACAATCCACGAAATGCTTTGTAATTATTCAGTATAGTTAAAATATCAAGTTTTTGCTGTTCAAACCCCTGATTAAAAGCATGTTGCCAAAGTGATTCAAGAAGATAAGTTTCATTATAGAATCGTAAATATTATAATTTAAATCCTTAATTAAAGTTTTTAATGAATAATGCATTAATAAAAGTTCACGCCATACTGGATACCAGTAAGCAATAGGATATTTAACATTGAGAGCATTGATAATTCTTGGTAAAGTACTATTAGTAAAATCAAGTGCAGCAGGAACATTTCCAGAAGTGACAGAAGGTATTTTAGGAACACCACTAATAAAAACTAAAATGCTTTCTCTAAATCGTCGTAAAAATTCATCTAATCGAGTTTCATCATCACGCATACTGTGTAAAGTGTCACGTAAGTGGATCAATAAAAAATTAATATTATAATTTGGAAAATGCATGTAGATATTGTTAGTAATATTAATCTCCTTAGATTTATATTTAGACTTAAAACTATGATTAACGCCTTGACTAAACATTTCCGTTACTCGGTAGTGAATTTCAACAAATTTATCTAAATTACTATAGAGTTTGTCACGAGTTTCACAGGTTAAAACAGTAGGAGAATAAAATACAACTTCTAAGGTGGCAATCCAAGTTCGAAGATGTAATTCTAAATGTGGAATAGTATTTCTTGTGTAGCATTTAAATAAAGAAGCATCACTAAGTAATAAAAGTGCATCAACTAACAATTCTAATAATGATGCAGAAGGCTCTACTTCAAGGTCTTCAACTAAATACTTAAAACTAATTAAATTTGATGGATTTCTAAAGTCTTTCATAAACTCCTTAACACGATTAATAATGGCCTGATCTTCAACTTTTGTGTTCTTTTTGTTAATAATAAAAGTTGAACTAGTTGAAGAATTCTTGTTAACATAACTATAGTGATTATGTCCTATGGACTAAAAATAAAAACATATTAACATTTATACTAATTATTCAAGAAATATATTTATTACTATCCTTACAGTTGAAGAATTCGAACCAGGAATTCCATATTCTTCCATTATAACAATTTCCTATATAAAAATTATCTGATACTTTTTACAAAAAATGTTAAAAATGGGAGTTGAACAATGTAAACGTAGGTATGTATGTACGTATGTATACAAATGTATCTTATATGTTATATACTAATAATATTGTCACACCCAGTTACATAACTAGTAGTACAAGGCATGGTGATAACATCTATATACAGTATATTTATTATTATCTGTTATATGCTCAAATGGGATGACAAATTCAATTAACGGTTGAAAGCTTTGTTCTTACAAGCACAAGTTAGATTTTATGATAAACTTGTATTATTAAATTGAGAAAACTTAACCGTATCAATGTGTCATCTAACAACCAATTTTGTGCATCGAAATCAAATCTTCTTCAATTCTAAATCGATATAAGTTATACCAGAACTATTAATAATCTTAAGTAGTTTATAAAATATTATAAACTCATGTGCATGTGTTGAATTGAGAGTAAGTCAGATGCTTTTGAAATTACAATTAAACCTCGATAAGTACACCCTCTATAAGCAGGAATGGTAAATGACCTAGTCATTTGATCAAAATTCAAATGACCCCAAGTTATCAAATAATGACCAGATATTTTCATTTGTATATAGAATAATTTTATTGGTCGAATTGCTCATAAAATTATCGAACTCTATTTACTTTCCTAATCGATGATCGTAGATTGTGTTTGGATATCAATTCTTGTTGGTTAAAAGGTGTTAAAACAAATGTTAAATGACCTTTAGGCTTTGAAATAACCTAATGTCTAGTCAAATGTCATTTTGGTCGTCTCAGGTGATTTACTATCCCTGCCTACAGTGCGTACTTCTCTAAATGCACACTTTAATTCAGACCCAAATCTATATATAACCTCTATAAATGCACCTTTTCTTATTGTTCTCTAAGTGCACATCATTAAAGTTCAGTCCCAAGGGCATGCATTTATAGAGCTTTCATTGTATTTGGACCTGAATTTAAGCATGCATTTAGAATAGAAGTGCATTTATAGAGGGTGTACTTCTGGAAATTTCACTGTAGTCGTATCAATTAGTATAAATATAAAAAAAAATAAAATATATTATTGGATAGTTGCAATCCAAATGATTATATTATAAATTCTAAATATAACTAGCTTGTAATCTGATGCAATTTAAAGGTTTTTTTAAAACAATTTATAAATTTTGGTGTTTAGAAGCATTTTTCTTTTATATATTTGTATAATTGCCATTTATTAGTTCATTAAAATTATAATAGTTTTTCTATTAATGCAAGGCTTTTCATAAGTTGCATGTATATAATGCTTGAAGCCAAAATCAAAATTTAATGATTAAATAAGATTGAAATCAGCAATTAAAATAAAATGACATTATTAGATTTGATCAGATAGTCACTAAGATATCTTCACTCAAAAATTTTAAGCTTTAGGTTGTTTAAAATTTCCTAACTAGAATTCATTTTAGAGTTGTCACTCGAAACAAAACCTACCTGAAACTAGTTTTGGAAGGTTCTAATCTGAAACTAGATTCAAATTTTTTAAAAAAAATTCAAACTCTGAAACCTGAAACTCTGAAACTATAATATAAAATTTTTAAAAATTATAAGTTATAAAATAAATTTATTTTAATAAAATGTTAACAAAAATATATTTATATAAATAAATAAATAATATTAAAAATATAATACTAATAAACTATTTTATATTATATAT